TGTTGTCGTTGTTGTTGTTGCTGTCGCTGTTGCTGCTTCTACTGCTGTTGTTGTTGCTGCTGTTGCTTTGATTGCTCTGTGCTTTTTTGTTCCTGGTATTGCTGTTGTGATACTTTTCCTATGGTTGTCTTGTTGCTGCTCCGCTTTGTCAGCCACTGTGCACAGATTATCCTCGAACTCTTTACTATGACTGCAAAATACTGCAAAATGATTCTTGAGCGGACATGGAATGAATGAAGTTGTGTGAAAGCAATGCGGCCACAACACTTAGCCGCTAGCCGCTAGCCAAGCACATGCCAAGATATTCCGAGCCGCTTGCGCTGGGAGGCCAATTGCTGGACGCTGAGGTGCTGGCAAAGCTTACACGTCCCGAGGAAAAGGATGGAGCTGTCGTCGAGCATACGGAACCATCGTGATCTTCATCGTGCTCCTTAACACCAAAGGCCTTGGCCGCCTCGTCCATAACCTTGATCCGGCAGACTGGTCCAGCTTCCATGCTGTCCCGCTTCGATGCGAGAGCAGACACTCGCAGTTGTGCAGGAGGCGGTGGTACAGGCACGTGAAAATCAAAAGATTGCCCACGGCGCAGAGGCCGAGTACAAACAAGCACGCCGGCAGCTGTCAGCAGTTTGACTCTGAAGTCACGCCCTTCTTTCACCTTCGGCCGCAAGGCCCACTCGATTCCAGGCTTGACGTCAGCTGCTAGAATCGGTGCTGCTTTGCCACGAAGCCAATGCAGGACTGGCTTCAAAAGCGGCAAATCTGCCAACGGAGAGAGCTGCGCGCCCTTCGGTTGGTGAAGCTCCACGCGGAGTGGCACTTTTGTCCGGTTCCGCACAAGCATGGACGCCTGAACGAACTGTCGTTGTGAATGTAAAATCTATGCAAGCCTTGTGGCTTACTAGTTTCAATCCGTTTCACCGGCCTCCTCGTTCAGAACCCAAATCCAAGGCCAAGGTTCTGGAAGAGCTCTGGTCCTGCAGGCTGCAGGCTGCACCTCTAAAACGCTACAGTACTTATCCAAGATCTTCCGGCTCTTCCCCTTAGCTCCTTACGGCATCCAGATGCACCTCCAACCGACGCCAGGTAATTGAGCAACCGGCGCTCGCCTTCTTGAGACATCTGCGGACCTTGCTGGCAAAGATCGGGAAGGAACAAACGCCCTTCCTTGGCTGTGCACAGCTTCAAGCTGCATGCATGTAAAGAAGCAACAACTGGCAGATTTAACGATTGCCAGCTTGTGTCTCGACGAAAATGCGAACAAAAAGCTGGGCTAGGAAGAGAACAAACGGGATTGGGTGGATGGGGCTCGTCAAGCTGTGTTGAGAATGCACTTGTTTTGTCAAGCTGGTCTTTCACAACTTGCAGAACTCCGGAATGAAGCTTTCGCGGCGTGTGTTTTCACTCGCTGCCGCTGCTTCTTGTCGCGGGATAGGAGTCTAGTTCAGTCTTCCGTGCGTTGCTCCGGGCTTCGTGGATGCGAAACGTGCAAATCAGCATGTCGAATGCTCAAGTGCGCTCTCTTCGACCAGCTTAGGTGCCTATCAGGATGAAAGTAATGGCATGGCAGGACCCGACACCGCCACAGTATTAATCATGATGTTGGATCCAGCTTCTGAAACGAAAAGGACTGTCGACTGAGCCTTGTAAGGACCTTCAATCTATTTCAATCTTAATCACAACCTCATTGGTTTGCAAGTAGCTCGCGGGCCAGAACTGCGCCCTCTGCATCTTCTGCCTGGCCCATCCATCCTAGCGGATCAGATGGCCGCCAGGCCAGTGCTGCGTCCAACAAGCAGACCAAGGCCACGGCTGCGGCACGGAACCTAGCACGATCGCATGCATGAACAGCTTTTAACACAGCCCAGACCCCAGAACGGGTCTGACACTATCAGCACTTGCTGCCACACTGCTCCTGTTCCTGGTCAGGCTGGGTCTTCCACCGCTTCTCCTCTGCTTCCTCAATCTCGTCCGGCTCTGCAGCAGTTCCACTCGGAAGAAGGAGGCGCGTGACTTTCAGCGCGTGCGCTGCTTTGTCTTCTTCGTCGAATATGTGATGTCGAGCCAAAGATGTCACGGCCAGTCTGAGCGAGCTCCTCTCACCATCAAGCAGATTTCCTTTCGGACAATGCCTTAACTCGAGAAACTGGCTGACCAGGTATGCCAAGGCAGCACAAACCCCTTGCTTGCTTCGAACGGTCCCCCACTGTGGGTTGAAGAGACGCTCATAAGCTTGGCTGCTTCCTGGCACGCTTAATCCTGAAATCATCCCGGCTTCACTTGCGATGCTTTTAGCTCCATCCTTCTTGTTTTGCTGCGACCTTCCGCGAGCTTGGCCACGCAGTGGTGTGGGAGAACACAACCCGCGCACCTTCTTCAAATGCTTGCGATAATCCTTGTCTGCGGATGTGCTTGCATTCTTCGAGGGACCGCCGCGTGTCCCCTCTCCTGAAAAGCAACTGAAAGCCAGTGATGCCGGACCTTGGCGTGTCCAATGCCTCTCCTCATTGGCCAGACACCAGTCGATGGCTTCAAACATTTGCCGGACAGCCAACAAGGGCTCCAAGGACAGAGGACTGCTTTGCGGGGCATGTCGCTTTACCTCGAACAAACGTTTTTCAATGGCTGCACGCTCATTGCGTTCGGTCAGGGCCTTGGCTGCCAGAGCACCAGCTGTGGCAGACACGGCACCAACTGCAGCACCGGATATGCCTGTGGCCACGGCACCAAAGGAATCGAGTGCTTTGAGCAATGAACCTCCAACCACGCCAGCTGATGCGACTACACCGGCTTCCGGAGCCACCTCCCAGAGTGCATCTTGCATGGTGCGGTCTTGAGGCAACACATGGGCTGGAGCCAACTCGGGCAAACGGCATCGTGATATATACACATCTTGCCCAGCAGCAGAAACCCAAACATATAACGAACTCCCTTCTTCCAACCCGAAGCCTGCTTCAGTTCACGCAGAGGTAGCACGAGACGAGAACCACCGAGATCCGTCCAATCGATATGTCCATTGATGCACTGCCTGCCAAAAACCTTCGCGACCCGCAAAATCTTACAAGCCTGATTCTGACTATTTGCGCATGTCATCCTGAAGCTGAGTCCTGCACCAGCTGTCCCGGCCATCACACTACTCACTACGCGTGCATGCCTCTCGCAGGGATTATAAGAGCCAAAGCAATGTCGCATAATCAGCATCTCAGACAACACCGTGCAGCGATGTCATCGCAAAAGCTGTTTTTCAACACACGGCGTGACAAGGCTCGTCCCCAGCACAGCCACCCGGACCACCGTCCTCCCCCCTTCTCTCTCCACCACCCCCACCATCCACCGGGCCAAAAAGTTATCGGAGAGTTGAGAGTTTGATGGTATTTGGCGTCAAAGTTGTCCGTCGACATGAACAAACAGATGCGAATGTTTTCGCAGCAGTGGTCGCCGCATGTCAGACATGCAAAAGGGGGCCAGAGATCCTCTAGCTTCTTCAATCACGTGCGCAATTTGGCTGTGGTTGTCAGGCTGTCCACACGGTTGACCAGCGGCATTTGCATGAGTCAACATATTTAGCACGGAGACTAACACCAGCATCCAAAAGCTCGTTGTTCGGGGTTGTCGGAATTTTTTTCTCCCGCACTTTTCTGATGTCCGCCACATGGAAAAAGTCCAGGTCCATGTGCAAGCGGCTCATTACGGGCCCAGAAGAGTCTGGGAGGGACTGCGTCGTGCAGCACATCCTCCAGCCGCGGGTGCTGTGCCCCAGGCAGGGCGCCAGCGATGTACAGCACGCAGAGCAGCGTGGCAGCAAGTGTGCTTTGCAGAGCCTCGTTCAAGAAGCCCCACCACCGGCGCAACGGGCGAGCAGTCGAATCCGGTTGGAGGGCACGCGGCGTGGTGGTCGCCGTGGGCGTCGACAGCGGCGCCGCAACCCTGCCCGTGGGAGGCGACCGCAAGGCTGTGAGCATGCGGTCGCGGGCGGCAGAGCGGAGCCAACCTCGCTCGGGACGGCACTGGGCCACGCGGCTGCCTGCAGCCCGGACTGCCAGTGCTGCATGTCCTGGGCCCGGTTTCGCGAAAGTGGGCAGAGCAGGCGTGGGAACCGTGGTGTTGCCATCCCTGGCAACTTTCGCCAAGTCAAGGTAGGTCGCACTGCGCACACGGTTGTGGGTATCGTGCGAGGCCGGGTACTCCAGGCCTCCCACACCAGCTGGCAGCAACGAAAAACGGCGTGTTGCAGCGACTTCGAATCCGCGTCATCTTCGTCTTCTTCGCCCAGCAGCGCGAACCCGCATCGCCTGACAGCATCCTCATGGCCACGCGCATAGCTGGTTGAAAGCAAGAGGTGGTCAGCGTGCGCACACGGCGAGGAGGAGCCATGCACACCGGAGGTCGGGCAGCAGCGGGAGCCCCTGCAGCAGCCGCGCTTTTTCGAGCAGCCGAGTGTTGGTGTGGGCGGCAGCAAACCGTGGGTGCCCGTGAGGGGTGCACTTCAGGTGCGTCGCCACGCCAAACGTTGCTCGGCGATGCCAGGAAGAGCGGACCCTCCATCATGGTTGTACATCCGTTTTTTTGTTTTTGTTTTGTTTCTGCTCGGCCGAGCTACCTGACTACAGCACGTAACCAGCTACCGGGTATGCTTTTGGTGGCTCCGCCAGGAGCTCTCGGAGCGGCAGCTCTGCACCGTCGCTGGCGTCATAGCGCCGAATCAGCAGCTCCAACAGGTTCTGCGCGTGCCGCAGCGGTCCAGCGGCACGTGAGCGCGGGGCATAGCGTGCATTGTTGCGGCCCGCGCACACAGGACCCGATCCCGGGCGCGAGCGCGACCAAACCGTCAGAGCAGCGCCACCGCTTGACTATCGAAGCGCCCGAACACCACAAAACGGCATCGCGCCTGCCCGCCTGGCTGGAGCTCGGGGTATATAAGTGCGGAACTTGCGCGCTTTGGCCAATGCCAAGACACTCGCCGGGACGCAACTGTGCATCTCCAGCAGCGAGGACGTTGTGTTGGCCCAAGGCGTACAGCGTCTCCTTGTTCGCACCCTTCGCCCTGATGGATGGTACGCCGCTGCCCACCGAAGTCCCACCAGAAGTATGTGGAAGGCTGCCCGTACCAGAGGCGCACGAACGGGATGAGTGCCGGGGCAACGGCGTGCAGCTTGCGCACAAACGCAGTGTGCGAGATCGGGCCATAGGCATCGGCCGTGTAGTGACACGATGGTCGCCGCAGAGTCGAGATCGACAGCGGCCCGAAGCATTCCTGAAAGTGCGTCAGTGCCAGCCAACCAGCCAGCCAACCAGCCAGCCAGCCAGCCAGCCAGCCTCTGTGGTGCAAACGTTGCCTCGTCGAAGGTGTCGGCAAACATATGGGCAAGGCTGCGGGACACGAGACGACGGAAAATGTCGCCCGTATCGATGCCGCGGACGCCTCCGACGGGCTGTCGAATCGCGGTCAGGCGGGACATGCAGGCCCAGGGCGGTTGGGACGTTTGAGGGGACGTGTGAGGCAACTAGGAAGTGGCAGCGTGCGCAAACAGTTCGAGCGCCTCGTCGAGCAACAAAGCAACACCTTGTAGTGTTCACACGAGGCGCCCGACAGCTTAGCAGCGGTGCCGCACCTGGCAGTCCGCGGAGCTTGAGTGACGGCGGCATCATGCAGTGATCATCAGTGAGAACATCCGGTGAATCCGGTTGGATCCAGTTGAGGAGGGCAGCACGCACGTCGTGACAGCTACGTGGTTCTTCTCCGAAAAACTCCTGCGCACGGTCCCACTGCACAAACTAGCAAGATGCCGCACATAAGCCGATAACAAACGACAGACACAGGGGTGGGGATACGCATCTTTGCACAAGCCAACCCAGCCATTCTTGAAATACGTGCCTATCACGAAGCAGCCTCCGGCAGAGTCGTTGGACATAAACGTGTGCCTGGGAGCCTCATACCGCAGCAACATCATGGTTCGTCAAAACGTGATGTTGTTGCCATGGACTCCAGCCCAAGGGTCCACGAAGTCTAGGACCACTCAACCACACGGAGGTAAGCGGCTGGACTCAACTCCAAGGGGTAACGTTCAAGGGAAAGCTGCTCACAAATGCTGGGGGCATTGCGCCCTTGAAACGCAACCGCAAAAGGATATGAAAAACAGAGTTGGATGCCACTTTTATCGTTTTGGATTTAAACGCCTTGATCGTTTGGTTACACATCACTGTCAGAGAAAGCGAAAACGCACCGAAAAGGCTGCTGCAGCCAAGGTCGCTGCTGCACAGCGGCGGGCGGCATCCGTAAGGGTACAACAGCAAGAAACGCAACCGTGTGAACATTGCCACAAGCCCGGACACACAACACAAAAGTGCTGGTTCAATCCAAAAACATCCGTTTGCAGACCGGATTTTGCGGCGAAGATCAATGGCAGCATTGAGTCTTCGTGCAGTGGTGTGCCATGTGTTCCTGCTGGCGTGGGAGCTGGACCTGGGCCTGGGCCTGGGCCTGCCTGGGCATGCAGTTCCAAGTTTCTCACCAAACGTTTCGGTGGCCCCGTGTGGTTTGCACATATCGAGCCGGACCCACTTGAACAGGTGCAGCGCGGGCACTGGGTTCTGGAGCTGGTCAAATTAGCATGATGGATGAAAATACTGATAATGCCTGACGGCTTGGCCAACAGCCATGGTAAATGCCATCGCTCCGCATCTCCGGCCGTCGCTCGGCCATGGTGGCACAGCAGCGTGTTACGCCAAGCGGACACTGCGTCATTGTGGACGGTAGCGAATGCCCCGGTGGTTTCGAGTGGAAGTGACGGGGGCACAGAAGGCGCTCGTATCCCTCCTCAACGCAAGAGGATCAGCCAGCTGATCTGGGCGTTGCGTACGGCAGGGACTGCCTGCGAAAGCAAGCAGGCCACGCTGTTCCGGGTGACACACAGCAGTCACAACCAGACCAGCATCGAATTGCAGCCAACATGCTGGTTCCACGGTCGCCAAAATCTGGAACCGCCGCCAAGTGCAACGATGATGTGAGGTACGTGCATGCACACCGAAATCAATCAATTCCAACACCCATTCAAAACTCGCATAGTGGCCCTGCGACAACGGGCGTGATAGTTACGGCCGGCTTGCCAGTCGTTGATCCAGCTTAAAGGTTGGCTGCACGCTTGTAACATTGAATTGATGATTTCAAGCTGGCCGGACACAAACCGGCGCCATGCTTGGGCGTGTTTCTACAACACGGCCAAACAAAAAGCTGTTTGCCTCAAATTTCAACTCTATTTAGAGGCTGGGTTGTAGATAGTCAGAAATGTCTTGAGATCTCGTATTACCGAAGGCGGAGACGGTCAGATTCAAACCGGGGCCTGGAGAGCATAGGTTTTTGGAGGGTGT